ATTTTTCCTGGAAGGTCGGGACTGGCTGACATCAGTGCAGCCACAGCTGCTCTCAGCCGCTCAGCATCTGGGCTGTGGTCTTGTTTTGCCTCCCGATGTGCTGGACTGAGCCTGGAGAGGAGCGTGGCTGCTGTGTGCCCCACAGCTGGGCAGAAGTGCCGTCCTGCTGTGATCCAGGGCTCCAGGGTGGGAGGCTGCATGCACCCCAGGGGTGCGTGCTCCTTGTGCCCCTGTACCAGCCTGGCCCTGAGCTCCCTGCACAGAGCAGGAGCAGAGCTGTACAGGGGTGAGCACGTCTTGCCCCAGAGGGCAAAGTCTAACCCCCAGAGGACTCGTAATCTGCACTGGTGCAAGCACAGCAGGCCAAGCCATTTGCAACCCTGAGCTCACCCAGCCGCTCTCCAAGCAATGCACCCATTAGCATGTTACAAGTGGGAAAACTGAGGCCGAGAGCCGCTGTCCTTCAGCCCCTGAAGGAGTCGATGGGAGCAGAGATCAGGAGGTTGGGGCTCCCCAATGTTTCAAGCCGAGACCCTTCCCCCTCCCCGGCTCTCCCTGCTCTCAGTGGTGCCTTTCATGTTGGCTTGGCACAGGACGCCTGGCCCGGCTCCCAGAGACAGCCCTATTAACTTAGCTTTATTATTTGCCTGCTTAGATCTCTGCTCCAACCTCTAAGAGCAAAGGAAATGTGTCTGCACCGCGTGGCGATTAGATACAGGAGGAAGTGTCTGGGTGCAGGGGCGCGGCAAGCTGTTCCTTTTATCAGCTTGCACCTGAGGCCGGGGCTGCAGGGAGAGACGGGGGACCATCGGCAGGGCGTTTTGCAGCCCACAGGGATGAAAGCCAGTCCTTGCCTGGGCAGGAGCTGGGATGAGGAGATCTGCCAACTTCCTAACAAGGCTCATTTGTGCATCTACCGGCAGGCTTTAAAATCAGTATCTCGTGGCAAAAGACGCCAACAGGATTGCGATGGTAACCGTGCCAGCCCTGCTGCCTGCGGTGCTTGGGACGTACTGCCTGCCCAGGGCCCTGCTTGGGCTCCTCTGTCCCATGCTCCCTGGGCAGGCAGGGCACAGCCTCCGGGGAAGGCAGGCAAAGCCGGCTCTACTATTTGATCAAAGTGTTGGCTCTTTTTCCAAAGGCCCCAACTCCTGGAGTCAGTTTTCATTAAAAGCCTTCGAACCAACACGTTTCTGGATCTCATAGATGCAAAGAAAAGCATGAACCAAATGTATGCTCAGGGCTGAAGGCACAGAAAGCAACACGAGAACGCGGCACTTAGGAGGACTGGAAAAAAACAATAAATCTCTCACAGCCGTCGAGACAGGCTCAGGATGGGAGAAGTGCCTGGCAGGCTGACTTCTGACGCTTGGAGGTGGCCGTGCTGTTCTGAGATGCTGCGGGACCTGAAAGGGCCCATTTAGCAGAGCCCACCCGGGCGTGCGTGCAGCACCTGGCACTTTCTGGGGCACGTTCCTCCAGGGGGAAGGGAGGTGGAGGTCCCTGCTCACTCTGCCCTTGGGCTTGGCTTTCCAAAGGAGAAAGGCTTTTTTATGTGACAAGGCTGCGTCATCACAGGATCCCCTGCAAGGGCTTAGCTGGCTACTCCCAGCCCAGCTCCAACCACCCTAGGCCCCACAGGAGCCAAGTGGTGAATTAAAACCTCATTTACAACTAAGACGGAGACAGGGAAGGTGAATGGAAAGTTGACGCAGTGCCATAGTGACTGGCTCAGCTTTCCAAACAAATCTGGAGGTGTTGGGAGGCAACGCCCATGTGGACGGCAATAAAAAGTTGCCGGGGGACGTGCAGTGCGGCTAACCACATGCAAATGTGCACAAGACGTTCTGCGTGGCCTTGGAAATTCTCTCTCCTGCCCCTTACTTGTGGCTTTTAGCCGCCTGGGTCTCTTTCCTTGATGATTTACAAGTGGGGGCTGGTGAAAAGCCAAATCACCTTTGGTCTCAACTGCAAAGCAATGTTCCTAGCCCTGGTTGCAACCAAGCAGGCTGTAAACCCCGACTTGTGTGGGCAGGGAACATCTTACCGGACTCGTGCTAGCCAAATCAGGCTCCAAATCATTCTGCTTGGCTAATGCACGGAGCACGTTACAACGCTGCACTGGAGAAACAAATCCGAATTTCTCTTGCTAGGCTTCGGATCCTGCTAGCAACCACCGTGCTGGGGAATTATTCCCAAGAGGACACCAGCCTAAAGGGCAGCACTGCGATCCCTCCATGGACACCAGCAGAGGTGCACGGTTGCATAGCTCAGGTCAGATCTGCTCCGGACAGCATGTGAAGCGGCCAGCAGTGCCCAGCACTATCCAGCTACCTTGGTTTCAAGGCATACACACAGCCTATTCATGCCCCTGGTGCTTCCCTAAGACAGTTGTGAGCCATTCAGCAGGTGCTGAAGTGTTTGCACATTGCCCGTTTAAAATCAAATGAACCCCAGATAATTCCCAGGCACGTCTGAATCCTGCAGCGATGCTTCGTGCTTCCCAGCTTCTGGGTTCTTGTACAGGCATTACCTGGGCCGGTATGATCCTTCCTTTACAGATAAGGAAATCTAGGCCATGCCTGTGGCTTGCCAGTATAGCTGTACCAGTACAGTGTACTGGGAAAGGGTTTTAGTGGGCATGCAGTGCTTTGTGCTGGGCTAGCAAAAGCACCCTCAACACGCCAAAACAAGCTGCACTGACGTAGTGAATCTAAAGCCCAGTCACCAATGTAGCTGCATTTCTATTTGAGGCACACAGCTGGCATGCCGTGCTGTATTTGTAACATACTTTTGCTGTCACTCCTGGGTGATCAGAGAGGACACCTCTTCACACACCAGATGAACCCAGTGGCGCCCGTGTAGACATGGCCAGCGCGGCGAAGCTAAGTGACTTGACTAGGTCCCGGGGGGAGTCTGTGGCAGGGGCAGGACACAATCTGGATACCCTTAGCTCCCAGTACACATGTAATGCAGTAGGCCACACCTGGTTTACATCTCCTACCATGTGGACACAGTTGTTAATGAAAGCGTAAAAAGCAGATGGTTACATTGGTGTCTAGGGAACCTTTGGAGCTGGAAGTAGATACCCCCACATCTCCACTTTCCAAGGGATTTGGAAACCTCATATCCACAGCCTCTCTGAAAGCCCCAGCCTTTTATTTTCACAATTCATCTTCTCCTGCAAAGTCCCTGGCTAACAATTAACCCAGGGGGGTGGAAGCAGAGGCCTTGCCTTTAATGCATTTTGCATGCTTGGTTAGAGCTGTTGGGACCCTGGCAACCTGTAGCTGGGATGACTCACTGCAAAACCTTGCAGGCTCCTAAGGCACCAGACGGCTTGTTTGAGCTTCCCTGAGCGAATCTGTACAGTGCAAGCACAGGCTGCCATCAGTCTGCAGTAGGGAATGCGTCCCGGCTTGTTTCCCGCGTTACAGCTGCCAGCCCGTGGCGATACCATCTCCTAGGGGAAGGCAACTACGTGTCCCCCTTCCTCCTTGAGGTCTACACTATGTCTAGGTAAACAGGATCATTAACACAGCTGTCCAAACAGCCTGGACAGCTGCTGTTGGTGGTCAACAGGATGTCTCCCCCACTGATTCATGCTACTGTCCTGCCCTCTGCAAACTCAGAGAGCAGAGGAGGAGGAGGAGGAGGAGGACGCAAACCTGCTCCACATAGAGATGCTGAGCATCAGCCTCACACTGCCAGTCCCCTGGAGCTGAGGTCTAGCATATGTGCTATCCCACACGGTGCTGAGGCCTGCAGCCAAGTTCACAACAGCTGCTAGGGGCCTAATCGTGCAGATCTTGCGAAAGCAGGGCTGGAAGAGACTCCGAGCGGCCAGACAGGTTCCCGAAAGGATTTTCCAAAGCATCCAGATCTCACTGATGTGGTGTTTACACGAGTAACAATATCCACCTAGGAGCCAGGCTGCATCTTCAAAAGCCTGGACGGCTTTGAAAACCTAGACCTTCGTTACCATGATGGTGCAGTGGTCTGCCTCTTGCCTTTGGCGGCTGGGCCACAAGTTCAAGGCAGCTCAGGCAGTAAGGATCTGGTTTTAAAATACAGTGGTTCCTGCTTCCATTAGTGCTGTTGACAACCTGCCCATGGGTGCAACGTAAGTCATCCCTCAGTCAATCAGCGAATCAATCTGCCCCAGTGCCCTATACCCTATCACGACACCCACATCATTACCCTATCTCCTTGGCCCCAAGCACCAACTAATGTCGTTGCCAGACCTTGGAGCCAAGCGTTCCTTGAGGAATGGAGAAGCGTGACAACCTGCTGAATGGGGTTAACTCTTCTGGGGTCTCTGGCACCAGAAGAGTCACCTCATCATAAGAAAAGTGCAGGGAGGGAACAAGGGGAGCTTCCCCAGAGTCCCAACCCTGGCATGGGGGGCCAGAGGTCTACAGAGATGCCGAGCGGCACCTGCACCTTTGCTTCTCCTACCCTATGAACCGTCTGACGATCACTCATCACTGAATAGCCGTGTCCTTCCCCCAGCCTGCTGGCGTACGGTACCTGTGATGGCATCCCTTAGCTCCTTGGTGATGATGGGCAGGTCGTCCACATCCACGAAGTGCAGGTGCTGCTCCGGTGGTTGGCTCGCAGCTGCCGAGAGCTCCAGGAAGTTCCCCCGCCCCGTGCTGACGATGAAGACCGTGACCCCCATGTCTTTCAGGAGCTGCATGGGGGGGGAGATGTCATCAGTGGAGAAGCCATCTGTCACCCACACCAGCACCTTGGGCACGTCGGGCCTGGAGCCGGCTTCATCCGTGAAGAACTTCTCCTTGGCGAAGGAGAGCGCTTTGCCCGTGTTGGTGTCCCCCATGAGCTGCTGGGTGCCTCGGATGGCTTGCTGCACCGCCTCACTAGACGGGTACCGGTCGAAGGGGAACTCTATGGTGGGCACCGTGCTGATGTGGATGATGCTGGTCTGGACGTCGTGGGGGCCAAAGGTGAAGGGTCGCAGGAGGTCCCTGATGAACTCTTTGACCTTGGAGAACTCGTAGTAGGAGACGCTGCCAGAGCTGTCCAGCAGGAAGAGGATGTCCCCCTCCAAGTCCGGGATGAAGGGCTGGGGACCTGGCAAGGGGAGAGAGAAGGCGATGTTACTCAGATGGCATGACCCAATTCAAACCAACACAACCCCTGCCCCGGGATTCCCTGGGCAAGCCTGGTGCTAAACCCTGGGGCCTCTACGCAGGCATGCGATTGGGAGCTGGCCTGAGGAAGGATTTGGGGATTTACCCCTCGCCTCCGAGTTTTATGTTCTGTCCCCACCTCTAGGGCAGGCGACTTCGTCTCCCTGGGCCACCCTTTCCCCTCCCGTGTCACACGTGGTGTCTAGCCTGGACCGAGCCCTGTGCTGCTGCAGCCACGCTGCTCCCACTCCCCACGCCACCTCACTGAAAGCTAAGTCAGGTCTGTCTGCACAAGTAGAGACCATGGCGTGCTCAGACCCTTCAGCCATCACCTCTCTGTGGCAGGGACCAACGCCGTGTACAGCACCTAGCACAGCAGGGTCCCCTCCATGTCTGGGGCTCTCAGTCATCACAAGGCGCTCATGCCTTTTAACAGCATCACAGCTGCTGTGCTGGGATGGTTCAAGGCTCAGGAAGGGGATGGGAGGCTTGGTCTCCCTTGATGCCTGGGCCACGCTGGAGACCAGCCCTGTGCTACCTTCCAGGCTCCAAGGGGCAGCGCCAGGACCATCCATGCATGCACAGCACCTAGCGTGCACTATAGCATAGCACAGTGCACACCTCCTGCAGCAAAGTTAACACAGGAGGCTGCGGGGCTCACTAAACAGCCCAGGAGGAGTCTCAGCCCTGCCAAAAGCCTCTTGCCCTCCTGCTCTTGGCAAAGCCCTGTGCATCACAGCTGCCAGCTCCGGCCTTGCAGGGGCCAGGCCTTTTACGGGCATGCTGTGCACGGCCTCCAGGCCCATCAGCGAGATTCAGGACATGTTTCAGCACTCGCTGCTGATGAGCCCAGCAGAAGCAAAGAGGAGCCCCGGCTGTGGTTTTGCTCCCAAGGATTCGCTGCCAAGTTCATTTTACCATCATGTTTTACAGAGCTGGAGGGTGGGGGGAAAACGGGACACAGCAGGGGAGTGGGAGTCTGGATAAGCATCACTATTTCACTAGCACCGAGAGGCTCCAGGGTGCTCGGAGCTGCATGAATACGTGGCAAGAGACTGCCCTTGATCACAGCCCTTTATAGATGATGCAGTCCCCAAAGTCCCCATGCAAGGCATTTACTATTATTATCACCCTCTCTTTTTATGGGCAGAGAAGCAAAAGCATGGAGACGGAGTCACACAGGCAATTAGTGGAAAGCAAACCCAGGAGTCCTAGCCCCTGGTTGTCTGCTCACATCACTAGACACCAGTCCCTGAGAGCGATGGCGTCTATTCCCTTAGACGCATGTCTCGCTGCACAGCGCTCAAGCCATTTTCTGGCGCTTTCCCATCCACAGCCGGAGGCTGGAAATGTTCTCGACGCTCCGGCTCTGCAAACGTTTCCAGCCAGCCCGAGACCGTCCCTTGTTCAGACCCCGGGAGGCACAGAAACATCCATGCTAGTCAGACTGGCTGTCTGGGCCTAAGATAGAGCAGGCCACAGAGTCAGGAGCAAGCAACGGGCTCAGGCATTGCTGGGAGCAAGGAGCAAAGAGCTGAAAGCATCTTTCATTTCCTGATACTGCTCGTGGCCAGAAAAACAAGCTGGGCTTGGAAAAAATAATCAAAGATAAAGGAACTGGGGAGAGAAGCGAGGATAAATTACAGCTTCCAGGTTCCCAGAAGGGGTGGCTGGTTTCCAGAGTGGACACTGGCCTTGGTCCAAAGGCCTTGGCCAGAGTCCAGCCATGGTGGGCATAGGACACGGCTGGTTGTAGACTGGGCAAAGCTCAGCTCAGCTAAACCAGGAGCTGTGTCACCCCTGGGAGGAGCTCTCCAGTTTTTTGTGTGCTGTCCTCGGAGGGGAAAATGTGGGGAGACGCTGGCTGCGGGGGACGGCGCTTCACGATTCAGCCGGCGGGTGATATTTCATTCTGGACCTGTACTGGATCCGCTGGGCCAGCCTGATAGTAGGAGGCATCTCAGTGCACATCTAGAGGAGAGGCCTGGCCAGGGTCCAGATCATTTGGGATGGTAAATGAACCCATGGTGCTTCCTATAAAAGATAGGGTGTCCCCTCTGCAAGGATGGAGGAGTCTCCTTAACAAGCCATGAACCTTGAATAGTGACCCCTCTGTCATCCGCACAAAATCCACAACCAGTTGAGTTGCAATATCACCCTGTTCTGCTGACCTAAATTCCCTGGGCAATTAATGCCACACCGCTCGTACCCGATTTTCCTAAAAACTGCTTCTTACCCCATCCCAAAGGGGACAATGTACTAGTTTTCATACAGTCACTTTGGAAAGTCCTAAGAAATCTTTCAAGATGAGGAGTGACTGCTGTCCTGTATGATTTAGTGAAAGAACCTGAGGAAAGCGGAGGAGGAACAGAAATAGGTGGGAGAATCTGCTGTGATAGCAGCATTTTTTTTGGCCAGCTGATTTATTCCTAGCTGGGGGCTTGGGCCAGAATTGAAGAAAGCCTTTATAACCTTATGAACAAGTGCTGTGTATATCCTCGGGGAACTCCCAATTCCAAGCTGTGGGAGATGTACTGAAAATGCTTTGGCTCGGATGTATGAAGATAAGCCATGTTACAGCGTAGGAGCCTTTCCTCTCTGAACACCTGGCACATCACTGGATGTGGGCTGGAAGGGAAGGGAGGCAGAGCTGACTTGGTTTATCCGCCAGCAAAGCTGCATTGCAATTGGCAGGGGGTTCAGACAGCATTAGGCAAGCTCAAAAAGCTACAAGATTGGCTCAGAGACCATGAGATTTGCAAAAATGATAGTGCATTAGCTCATTTTTCACCAGCCTTCTGGTTTTTGCAGCTTTAGGGTCACAGTTTTTCAGCTTTTATCACTGCAAGGTCCAAAAGGGGACTGTTCCCCACCCTCATCCACCAATGAAAGATGACGGTCTCCCTTGATCACAGGATTCCAGGACCTGCAGCTTTACGGGGAAATAAAAAGAGACGTGTCGCAAAACTCATGGGAGCTGGCAATGCAGAATCAGGCGCTGTCTGAGGCAACCGGCAGCCTGTTGTCATAAGAGACTAAGGACTGGAATAGCACGCAGTACTACAGGCCAGATGGGAGGGTAGAAGAAACTGCAGTGGAAATAGGAGGACTGAGCTCAATCCCTAAAGCAGGAGGGTCCAAGGATACAACAGCAAGGAGCTCTGCAGGTCCGAAAGTCCTTGGCAGAGAGTTGTGTGTGGCCCTAGCCCAAGCGGTGGGCCAGGAATGAAGTGTAAAGCAGGGCTGGCATGGAAGAGCAGGGAGGGCTGCACGGTGCAAGGTGGGGGCAGTGGCCTGCCGCCGTGGGAAAGCAGGACATGGGGGAAGGAAGAACTTCAGCCAGAACCGTCCGGAGGTTCATTAAGCAGCATGAAAGGAGGAAGCACCCGCAGGTTTTATTCCCCTCCAGGAAAGTCCTGCTGCTTCCTCCCACTTGTCCCAGCCTCACCACCCTCCCTGAGCCTGGCTGCTGCCTGGTGTCTCTCTGATGCTAGGTGCTGGTGCTGGAGCTACAGCCCAGTCCTGTTTAGGCACCCTATACCTCTGCTCAGGCAAAGGAGAATGCTGGGCCTGGGTCCTCTGCTCAGGTTGAGTGGAAGAGACTCAGAGATCCTGTCTGATCTTCACTTCAGCTAGTGTGTACATGTAGGGGGTGCACATGTAGGTGTGCATGACAGATGAAGTGTGTACGTGTAGGGGGTGCACATGTAGGTGTGCATGACAGATGAAGTGTGTACGTGTAGGGGTGCACATGTAGTGTACATGACAAATGAAGTGTGTACATGTAGGGGGTGCACATGCAGGTGTGCGTGACAGCTGTCAGGGGATGCATCTGTGATGGCAGGGGGCAGCTCAGTGTTTCAGCCTACAGTTGTGGCACCCGGAGCGTGTCAAGGTGCGCACAGGTGTCAGGGTGCAGTGAGAGCAGGAGGTACTGGGAATATTAAGCTGTCTGCATGTGTACGTGGATCAGGAGTGGTAGGTTGTGCATAAGGTCGTGGGGAGGGGGTCATGGTGCTTGTGTTTCAGCACATGCACATGTGTTAGGAGGGGGTATATCCAGGTGTGTCTGGGTCCACATGTGTGTTTGCAGCAGGGGTGTTTCCATATGTGCGCTGGAGGTGCAGGGTAGGCGAGTACACACTGACAGCATCAGTGCATGTGCTCATGGGCAGTAGCTGTGTGTGCAAGTGTATCAAGGTGTGCGAGCGGCAGGCAGGCGGTGTGGCACGTATCACCTAGCTCAAGCATTTCCCTGCACTGTGTCTGGGGAGTCAAGAAGCGACAGGGCATGTGCTTTTCCGGAGGGGAGAGTGGGAGCAGGTGTGTGGACCTGGTTACTCTGCAACCTAGAAACCAGCCACTGGAAATAAAACACAGCTCTTCCCCTGTTAACTTTACCTTTGCCTCAGTTACCCTGTCCTCACAGCGATCCTCCTCACCTGCTTGTGCTCCCTCCCTCGGGAGCTGCACCCTGGGCCCTGGCTGGAGTTTAAGATACAAGAGCAGACGAATTACTCTTTGTCCTGGATTAGCAGATAACCAAAAGATGACGCAGCCCCACCAGACTTGCAATGAGCCATCAGAAGCCAAACAAAGCCTCCCCAGTTCACTATAACCCCATCCAAAAATGGAGAAAGTCGAAGGCAAATACTGGTGACTAAACAACAGGCGGGAATAAGCGACTCAGAGCATGTGTTCATCATGCCCAGCTCTAGGTGACCAAGGCCGACACTGTTTTTGGCCCCCACTGCGCACAATAACCCAGCACTGCAGCCTGAGAGCTGGCAGAAAAGAAAGATATGGCAAACCCCATTTTTTCTTGCCGATAGAAAAAGTTCACCTAAATGGGAAAAATTTTGCAGAACCGTGCTAAATATTGAAGACATTTTTTGGCAGGAAAAATTCTGGAATAAACCGAAAGGTCGAAGCAGTTCACTA